AGTTTTTTTTTTTTTTTTTTTGGTACCAGGGATCGAACTTGCGTCCTTGTGCTTGTGAGGCAGGTGCTGGAACCACTGAGCTAAATCCCCTGCCCTCACTGTAGTTTTGATCACACCACATAAAGACACTCATGAAAGAGGACTTCCAGAACTGTTTTACAAAGCGGCAAGAAAGATGGAACAAGCATGTTTGAAGGGGGAGTACTTTGAGAGGGCTTAATGGCAGCGTGTCTTTTGTAGATTATAGATTATAAAACCTTAACATTTACCTTCTATTTTGATTATGTAAGATTTGACTGTAGGTCTCCTTACATTTACTTCCTTCCTCACTCCCCTGCCTCTTCCCTTCTTTCTTATTTCTAGTCTTTCATACTAATTGGCACCAATTAGCCCAGAAACTTTGCTATCTTTGTTCGTACTTTTTCCAATATTAATATCCTGTTGGTTGGAAAGAGAGCTTTGACATGTCTTTTTTTTTTTTTTTTTTTCCTTTTTCCTTTTCATACTGGGGATCAAATTCAGGACCTTGCGCTTGTAAGGCAGATGGTGGCACCCCTTTGCTAAATCCCTGGCCCTGCTTTGACATTTCTATTTCCAGAACAGTTCATTCCTTTCTCTGACTCTGCTGCCATTACCTGGTCTAAGCCACCATGCTGTCCCCTTGGATTATCCAGTAGTTTCTTAACTCTTCTCTGCTTTTCCTCATTCTGTCATCTACTGTCTACCTCAGTGCTGGACTGGCCTGTGAGGAACGTTATGAGATCATTTCATTCCTTTGCTTTAGGGATTTTTCTTTGCACTGAAAATAAAATCTCATTTCCTCCAAATGTCTTCCAAGGACTGTGTAGAATTGCTTTTTTCTCATCATATTGACCTCCTTTCTGTTACTTGGATCATCTCAGAGGCTTTGTACATGTTCATTCCTCTGTCTAAACACTGGTATAGCTGGTTTGTTCTTTTATTCAAATGTCACCTGTTGGAGGCCTTTCCTAACATTATATTTTAAATATGACCCTAGTTACTCTTTATCACATTAGCTTTATTTCCTTGTTTTATTTGTATATTGGTTTCCCCTCTCCTTTCCAAACACAAATGCGCGCGCACATACTCTCAAACATGTTTCATTTATTTTATTTTTAAATGTTTGTTTGTTTGTTAATTTATTTATTATTGGCTACTGGAGATTGAACTTGGGTCCTTGCACTTGCAAGGCAGGTGGCAGAACCACTGATACTCTTAGCAAAGTGTCTGAAACTCAGCAGGTCCTCAGATGTTTGTCAATGAATGATTACTGTTCCTTGTTCCTTTTCTCAGTCCTATGCACTGTTTTGTTGTTGTTGTTGTTGTTGTTGTTGTCTTTGAGACAGGGTCTCACTATGTATTTGAGACTGACCTGGAACTCACTATGTAGCCAGGCTGGTCTTGAACTCACAGCCTTAGCAAAGTGTCTGAAACTCAGCAGGTCCTCAGATGTTTGTCAATGAATGATTACTGTTCCTTGTTCCTTTTCTCAGTCCTATGCACTGTTTTGTTGTTGTTGTTGTTGTTGTTGTTGTCTTTGAGACAGGGTCTCACTATGTATTTGAGACTGACCTGGAACTCACTATGTAGCCAGGCTGGTCTTGAACTCACAGCAATCCTCCGAGTGCTGGGATTATAGGCGTTTGCTACCAAGCCCGGCTGCACTGAGTTAAATAGAATAAAATGTGTTTGGTTTTCTCTGTCTAGTTTGAATTCTTGGGACCTCCTTAGCTGAGTGAGAGCACATCTCCCAGTTGGCGACAGACGTGATGTTTTACCGGTTCCTGTCAATTATCCAAAGACAAAGAACCAGCCCAAGATGGCAGACTTGGTGTTTGTCAAGAAGCAGTGTGTCGGCTGCCGAAGCTCATTCTGTCACCCTGCCTGCCCAGGCCCAGGTGGTCATCTGTGGGGGTGGAATCATGGGCACATCTGTGGCCTATCACCTCTCCAGGATGGGGTGGAAGGACATCATCCTTTTGGAGCAGGGCAGGTAAGGACCAAGCTGGACTTGCTTGTGGCTGTGCTGCACTGATGGTATGGGACACCCTCGTAGTCGCTCCTTTTCCTGGTAATGTCCCATGCATAACCAGTATAAGGGTTGGTCAGCAGCATGCGAAGAATCGTGATGAAATGTCCTGCGCTTTGTTTAGGAACTGCGTAATGCTTATGTTTTGTGCATTTTAGAGCTGGCAGATTTCAGTAAATGAGTTGTCTTAAAAAGGAAGTATGTGTTAGCACATCTTACCTCAATGTCTTTACTGTAATTATCCAGCAGTGTAAACCCTATGGCTCTTGAGCTGATACCAAAGTGGCTACATTCTACCAGTGTTTCCGTTACTGTTTTTCATGTACTTAGCCAACTTTAGAATGTTTTCAGATTTATAGAAAAATTGTGAGGATTGAGGATTGTACAGAATTCCATTTACCTTATACCCACATCTACTTTTTACTAATATCTTATGTTACTTTGAGTGTTGCAATTAATAAGCCAATATTTATACATTAGTACTAACAAATCTGTATTCATATTTCTTTAAAGCTTAAAAATTTTTTATCTTGTGTACAAAGAAGTAGCATGGTGTTTTCCATTGAGTAGATGTCCTGGATAACCCATCAAAGGAAGATCACTCAGTCCAACCGTAAGAAGCCAATATCCTTCTTGTTCTGATGGAAACACTGGTGGCACAGGTTGAGGCCACACTTCTGGATCAGTCCTTGCTGGTTTGAACATGTGCAGAATGAGCAAATTTCCTTGGGTGGCTCCAGTAGAGCTGCTGGTGACCCAAGTTGCTTCCAGAGGTTGAAGGAGGCAAAACAAAACAAAACTAAACTAAACTAAAAGAAATCCTTGATACCCTTTTTTCTGTTCTAGGATTCCATCTGGGATCCTTTGTACTTAAACTATTATGTTAGTTCAGATCCCTCCTGGCTGTGACAGTTGTGTGTTCTTTTGTTGTTAACTAGAAATTGAATCTAGGAGCTGCACGTTAAGCCCTTTAAATTTTCTTTTTTAAATTTTTGAGACAGGGTCTTGCTAAATCACAAAGTTACAAAGTTGTCCAGGGTGTTCTTGAACTTGCAGTTTTCTGGCTTCGTCCTCCCAGAATATTGGGATTACATCTGTGTGTCACCACACCTGCCTGGCTTGTATTATTTTAAATTAGTTATAGAGATTACAATAAGTGTGTGTGCGCGCGCATGTGTGTGTGGTGCTAAGAATTAAAGGGCCCTGTTCATGCTAAGTAAGTACTTTATCACTGAGCTACACTCCCAGCCCCACAGTATGCACTCTTATCACAGTCCATCATGAATTAATGTTAGATAAACATTAGATAATGTTAGACAAGAGCATAATTTCATTTACCCCCTTTTGTTCTTATGTTGTATATTTTACTTCAATATATACTGTAAATCCCGTAATAATTTTTACGTTTACATTAAATATTGAGCAGTCTGTTTATTTATTTATGGGTACTGGGGATTGAACTTGGGTCCTTGTGCTTGCAAGGCAGGCAGCAAAATCACTGAGCTAAATCCCCGGCCCTTATTTATTTTTAAGACAGGGTCTCACTGTGTAGTCCAGGCTGGCCTTAAATGCACTATATATCCTTGGCAATGAATTGTTGAGCCTCCTGCCTTTACCTTCTGAATGCTGACATTACAGGGATCTGACACCAGGCCCAATGAACAGTCTGCTTTAGTAATTTATTTTGAAATAATTTCAAATTCACAAAAAAGCTGCAGGAACAGTACAAAGAACTTCCACATCTCCTTTACCCAGACCCCCAGTTGCCCGCATGATAATACAGCTCTGGCGATGTTCCTCCTCTTGCTTGTGGATGGGTAGAATACATGTGCACAGCCGGGTGGGCATACACACTTTTACTGTGAGTATTTTTCTGATGATTTGAGCACAAGCTGCAGACCTAACGCTCCAGCACTCTAAGCATTTCAGAGTGTATATTCTCAATGAACAAGACTCCCTCCTAAATAACTGCCTACAACTGTCCGGAAATTGTGGTTACAGCTGGGTGTGATGGTGTACACCTGTGATCCCAGTATGTAATTCCAATAGTCAGGAGGCTGAGGCAAGAGGATCACAAGTTTGATTTCAGCCTGGGCAATTTAGCTACTTAATGAGATCCTGTCTTTAAAAAAAGCTGGGTGTGGTGGCCCATGCCTGTAATCCCAGCAATTTGGGAGTAGGAGGCAGTAGAATTGGTGTGTCTGAGTCCAATTTGAGGTTACATAGTTGGTCTTGAGTTCAAAACCAACCTGAACTACATAGTGAGGTCCTGTCTCCAAAAACCAAAAAAAAAAAAAATTCCCAAAATGTAAAGGAGGTATTATTAATAAATGGACCAACATGTGTAAACAGACTGTCCTAGCCAAACAGATGCTTGATTGCTTACACTGTGTAGTTTTCTTTTGGAGATAACTTTACTTTCAAGCTTTGCTCAGGTGAATCTAAATCTATTTCTGTGTCTTTTCAGACTAAGACAGGCCCTATGCAGTGACTAATGTAGAAGTGTGGAGTGTGGGCCAGAACAGAAGAAATGATTTAAATTGTTTTTTGTTATATTTGTGCAGCATTAGTGAAATGCTTTACTGCTGCAAATGAATCTTATTAATCTGTAAATGTCACTGCCTTTTTGTGTAGTCTCTCTGCCAAGCCTTCAATTTCTCATTTGTTCAACACATTTTATTGGTGTTTTGAGACAGGGTCTTGCCATCTAGTAAACTTAAACTCTATAACCTATGCTGGCCTCAATCTCACAGTTGTCCTGGCTCAGCTCCAGGTGCTGGGATGACAGGTGTGTTGGCCATGCCTAGCTTGCTGAAGACACTTTGAAGATTTGGCTGAATGTGGGGCACTGTCTGTTCTTAGCACAGGATTTTGGGAGAGCTGGATGCTGTTATAAATTAAGATGCTTAGCCGGGCATGGTGGCACAGGCCTGTAATCCTGGCACTCGGGAAGCTGAGGCAGGAGGATTGCTGTGAGTTCGAGGCCACCCTGGGCTACATAGTAAGTTCTACATCAGTCTCTACATAGTGAGACCCTGTCTCAAAAAACAAAAACAAAACAAACAAAAAAAATAAAGATTCTTCTCTGAACAGGGCATGATGATGCACGCCTATAATCCTAGTACTCTGGGAGGTTAAGGCAGGAGGATCACAGTCAAGCTTAGTCTGGGCAATTAAAGATTTTGTGAGTCTCTGAAAACAAAAAGGGGGGCTAGGAATTTAGCTCAGTCTAAAGGCTCTTGCTTCCCTAGTACTGAGAGAAAAGAAGGAAAAAAAAAAGGAAGAAAAAGCTTAGGGAATTCAGTGGCGAAGAACAGCCCCATTCCTCTCTCAGAAATATCCCTCTTTTTCTGATCTTTTACTATTCCTGTTCTCTTTTTCATATTAATACTTTCTCTTGCTCTTGGACTTACAAAAAGAGAAGCACCATTTGCAGGTGACTTATCTGTTCTGGGGCAGTTTCCGTATGTTCATCATGAGTAGGTTTTCATAATGCTTCCTTGATTTCCAAGTCTTTTTTTTTTTGATCTGAGGAAAAGTTTATTCAAAATAGTCTTATTACTGCCTTCAGTATGTATTTTCTTGGATGTCTATAAGGAAGAGTGAAAACAAGAAGAGATTGCCTTGGTGTTTTATACATTTGGGGATTTTCAATAAAAACTACACTCTGCAGACCCGGAGGCTGTTACTTTTTTTTTTTTTGTAGAATGACATTTTAGTCTTGTGCTGTGATGGCAGAATTTGTTCTCAGGATCTTCTCTTTCTCATCACCTCTACTGACTCCCTCTTTTAAAATCTTCAGCGAGCACAGTAGAAAGTTGTCTTTATTGTTGAAAATACACTGCAAAGGAGTCTCCCTTTTAGCATTTTCAAACTCCTTTTGGACTTCCTCATCCACAGTGACCCTGAAGGACTGCTCATTATTTATCTGAATGTAGTTGGCTTTCAGGACTATCTCCACTTCACAGGGCACATCTTGCTGAGAAGGCTTCCAGGGCTGAGTCACAACCCACAGATAGTGAGGTCGTCCCCAGATTTGCAGCTGTTTATTGAGTCGTCTTCTAGGATAACCTTCATAGATTGTGGAATACTCCCAACGGACAGCTTTCGAGCCTGTTCTTGAATTTTTATTTCCTGGTAATCTCTACACTTGGCTGGATTTGAAGACAAGACTGAGGCAAGTGAATTTCGAGGAATCACTGCTCTCCAAGCTGGGGCACGAAGGTGGCCGGCAGAAGGTATAGTACTGCTTTGAATCAGCCTTGAGCACGTGCTTGCACTTGTTGCACATGTAATCCTGCTTAAACTCCAGGACCTTCACCAGACTTTTTGAATCACTGTTCTGGTGACAGATAAAAAGTGTCCCACATCCTTGGTTTTAGGGATGTGCTCCCTTCACCAGCTCAGGACAGACTGGCAAACCTGATATCCTGGCATGAAGACTGTGCTTCATGGAAACACCCTCAAGCTGAGAAAGGGACTGGAAAACTGTCAGGGCTGAACTCCGCAGGGTGCTATCAAATGCCATCAGTACTTCATCGGGAAACAGTGAAATGCTCCCCAACTTCCATGTTGGTCTCAAAAAGGGTCGTGGCGTTAACCACCACTGGGTAATGGGTGTCCTGGTCATCTTCCTTCAGGATTTGAATGATGTCACTCTTAACGGTATTCTGAAATATACGACTTGAACACTTGGCCCAACAGTGCCACTTGATCACTATTCATCCCGAATGTAGGTTAGGGCTAACGCATGCTGTGCAGGCCCTGGGAGCAGAGGGCCAGGCCTGGTGGGCCACAGGCGGGGCTGCTTGTCCCTGGCTCTAGAGCCTCCTCTCCCAGGTCGGCTCAGCCCTACCATGGCTTGCCCTGCCACCCACCGCTCTTCCAGTCTTTTTCTTTTTTTTTTTTTTGAGACAGGGTCTTACTGTATAGTTGAGGTTGGCCTTGAACTTACTATATAGTCCAGAGCCTCAAATTTAAGGTAGTCCTCTTGCCTCAGCCTCCCAGGTGCTGGGATTACAACCTCAAAGTCTCTCTTATGTTGTCAAATCCTTTTGAATTTTTTCCCCCTTCAGTGCTGGGAATTGAACCTAGGCCTTTGTGCATGCTGGGTACATGCTCTGCCACTGTGTTGCATCTCCAGCACTTTTTTATTTATACATTTTTTAAAAATTTTGATACAGGGTCTTCCTAAGTTGCCCAGGCTGGCTTTGAATTTTCATTCCTCCTGCCTCTGCCTTCAAAGGAGCTCACATTGCACCCAGCTTGAAGTATTACAAAATTATCAGGCATGTTCTATCCATAGAAACTGTTCACTTGTTCCATTGTACATATTACAAAGCAGAAACACTATAGGGAGATTCATTTTCTGGTTTAATTTGTTGATCTAATATATAGTACCATAGACTTGTCCTAACAGACTCTGTATGCCTGATGTTTTAAAATAATTATACCTTGACAGTGGCTTGTGAAATAGTTTCCTGCTTCCCTTTAACAATCATTGTTCCTCTTCTCTGTCACCACAACTCTCCCTCTCATAGGGTGGTTCGGAATTTTATCTGCACATTAGAGTTACCTGGGGAGCTTGGAACACATTCAAATTCCCAGAACAAACCAGAATGTCTGGAGGTGAGGCCCTGCGTCAGTGTGTTCAGAGGCTTCCCAAGGGACTCTAAGGTACACCCAGGCTGAGAGCTACTGTCAGGGCTGCTGAACAGGTGCTGTCCTGGCAGATGAGTTCCCTTCTCAGGAACAGCTCTGCACAGTGGCTATGCATTAGGTGGTAGAAGCATTTGTCTTTTTTTTTTTTTTTTTTTTTTTCCTTCAGTACTGGAGATGGAATGTAGAGCCTTATGCATGCTAGGCCAGGATTCTACTGAGCTACATCCCTAGACCGTTTGTTTTGTTTTTGTTTAAGAATTTTATACTGTTTGTTTCTGGCTGCCCTCAAACTTGCTGTCCTCCTGCCTCACCCTCCAGTGTAGCTGGGATTATAGGCTTGTGCAACTGCCCCAGAGGAAACATGTCTTTCTTTAGGGAGTTGATAATCTGACACAGGAAGCAGATCTGTTAAGAATAAACTCATTAAAGTCCAGTAGCAGAAGCACCAATGCAGGTAGAAGCTTGCTGAGGGCTAAGTAATTTGAAGGAAATGACCCGCTTACCAGCCACCCACTTAACTAATGTGTAGGTGCTTTGCAGAGCTAGATGTTTGGGCTCAAGCATTTACTGGGGCTTTCTATGTTCTGTTGCCTACCACAAATTGGAGAACATTTTTTCAGTTTAAATTTTATTTTTGGATAGGTAATACGTTTATATGGTTCAGAATTTAAATGTAGAGAATGTAGAGGGGGGACAAAAATCTTCCCATCCTTGCCCTCTGACTACAAGTTTCCTACTCTAGGGGCAAGTTAAGTTCCAAGTACTTTCCCTACGTAAACAGTATAAATAGATACATAATGGTTGGCATGTATACGTGTATATGGGTATTCCTTTATTTCCCCTTTTTTATATGAGTTGTAACAGACCTTAAATGCAGTTTTTCACTTTCCTTTTTAATTATGACTATCCCATGTTGGTGTCTAAGGAGCTGTCTCTTTTTTTGCTGTGGAGTATTCCACTGTATACATGATCTCCAAAATTTCATCAGTCCCACCTCCGTGTGCATTTTAAGTTTCTGTGTATCTTTTTCCGTCTTTTTGTCCCCCCCCCGCCCCCCCCCCCGCCCCCCCCCTCTTTTC